ATCAAATACCCTATATCAAATATAATATGATGATCAAATATAAGTTTTTTTAATTAAAATCTGAAGTCAGACAAACATTTCTTACGTGCACGTCAAGACGATTTCCAGGAAACAGAGAAAACATCTCAACGACGCATCTGTCACAAGACACATGAAGTAAAGTCTGTGTCCAGGTGAATGTGACAGTGGCGCCATCTGCTGCTCATAATTCATACATACCGTGACAGCCGAATTTCTTCCTGTGGAAAAGTTGCGTATTTATCCAAAACTTAAATTTCCCCTAATATAGGCATATCTTTTGTTGATGCATTTGACTGATGGGTTTTTAGACATTTATGAAAGCATGCATACATTCCATGCACATTGTAATGCTGATTGAGAGTTTAAACCAACAGAGTGAGTTATGTCAGCTGCATGAGATTAGTGCAGAAATTGTGGTTTGTTTTTGTTCATTTTTTTTTCTTCAGATGAGGAAGGTCTCTCTGATCCAGTATTTCAGTGTCTAGGGCAAAAACTGGGCAAGAAAAGCTGGTTTGATCCATTTCATACAGGCACTGCAGTGCAGGTTTAGCCTATTCAAATGATAGATCATCCATCATAAGCATTTTTCTTAAACTTTGTGTAATGAATATGTGATTTTACCATGTTACAAAGACATTTGTTTCTTTTACTTATTAAAGCAATGCATAAGAGCTCCAGCATCTGGTACTGCATTCAACACTCCAGTATTTCACCCAGTCTAACCCAAGTACAAAAACACAAATGCAAATGCAGATGGATACACCTGTGCAGCCTTTGAATGTTGTGTGTCGTGAGTCCTCCCTGAGCCAACAGCATCAGCAAACCTAATACTACTGGTACAAAACAAAATCTGATCTGGTACAAAATCTGATCCATAAAAGAAGGCTCTATGGGAGTTTTTCAGCAGAGACAAAATAATGAATAAGCCCATATCTCTTTGTCACTAACATACTCCTCATAAACTTTTCTTTCTTTCTTTCTTTTTCTTTCTTTCTTTCTTTCTTTCGCTTTCTTACCATGGTTAAGTTCAAGGATTTAAATGAAGATGTAAATGATGCAGTCACTCCAGGCAAATGCTTCAGGATCATTTTCTGTGACTCCATGAACAATAAACGTAGGTGAAAAAAAGGTACAGGTAAAATGTAGATGAAAACTGTAAAAGCAGTAATATGAAAAACAGAAAAATAAACTAGCAATATTGAATCCAAATGAACTGTTAACACAAAACCATTATTTATATATTAATCTTGTAGAAAATAATATTTTATAAAATATATTTTTATTACCCAGGACCAATAATGACCACATGTCATTTCACAACCTCTCCTCTCTCCACTGAGACCTCCAGCACACACTCAGAGCAACAGCATATGTTGGTTTTCCACCCACTAACACGTGCTATGAACAAGTGTGAAAAGATGCTGGCACCTAAAAGAGATTGAACAGATGAGTTGTCCCAAGCATTACCTGGAAGCCATTCCCATATGTAACAGGCAACAGCCAATAACTCGTTTCTTTCTATCACACAGTTGGCCCAGCGCAGCCCCTCAGCCACCTGCGTCAGATTTCATGGAGTGCCTGAGATGCAACAGCAGTCTGTCGCCTCAGTTACATTACATGTATGGCCCCCATGATGAATATACTGTGGGACATTAGCAGACATTTGGGTCTCTCCAAGATGAGTCTGTTGGATGGGATGACTGTACTGGTGGAAGCCAAGGAGGGCGGCTTGAGGACAGGACTGTCAGATTCAGCAAAGGCTGCATTGCTGATGAATGTCGTCTCCATCAACAGACAGATGAGTGGACACCAGCAGAACCCGGATACAGGCAGAACTAATACAGCGCAACGACACACACCATTTACAATGCAAAGAGACCAACTATGACACCTGTGTGAGAAAGCGAAGGGAACTAACGCAGACGCCGAGAAGCCCAGAGGGCCCGGGACAATCACTCAGCACAGTGTGTGTCAGCATGACAGAAGTGTCCACATTCCAACAGCACAGACCAGCGGAGGTTTGGTTGAAATTCAGACGACAGCACAGAGACCAGCATTGGGGTGACACAATGGTATAGTAATGGTATCAAATGATAAGACCATGGTATTTTGTTTTCTATACTTATCGAGATACTGCTATATACTCATATACCATGGTAAAGTATTTGCAAGGTCTTTAAAAATAATTTCATGGAAGTAACTGAGTTCTTCTTCAGTGAAAGATTCTCTGAGGAGCCACTGTAGTCATATGTAATATTTATGAAAACAATGATGTGAACACACCGTTTAGGATAGGTAGCAGTTTTATGATTTATGTTATTCCCAATGTATCATATATAATAAACACTACAGATGAGGCAGAGAGCTGCAGTATTCATGGCTGTGCGCCACCTGCTGGTTGATTTGTGGTACAGGTTGATCATCCTCCAGTGCTAGGAAGAGGAGACCCACTTTTTACACGCTAGGGAAAAGATAAGCAGATAAATATCACACAGCATTCATAACCGGTACATAATAAAAGGATAAAATAGTGCATTAGAAATCTAACAATAGAAATAGCATGCACCAGAGATATACTGTATTTTTACCCCACCATAGTAACCTTAATTGTGGTTTGGGGAAGTTAAGGATTTGAGTTAGGCCTAATGGTTAGGCTTAGGCTATGTGTAAAGTTAGAGTTAAGAATAGGATTCTGTGAATTTCTCTGTGTGATGGATGGATATTAATTTCATGACTGTCTGCCCAGCCAACATTTGTGTGTGGGGCCCATGTGGGTTTGAGGGCCCCATATGTGTTTCCCCATTCAGAACCCATATAGAGGTTGCCTATGTGGGTACTACCTTGGGCCTGTGTAGGCAGCCTATATGGGATTAATTGTATTTGCCCATGTCTAACCCATTTGTTAAACCCATATGGGCCCCATTTGTGTTGCCCATTTAGAGCCCATGCACTCATTTCCCATTTGTGACCCAACTAGGACCCACATAGGGAGCCCATCTGTTTTTGCCAATGTGGGACCTACTCAGTTGACCCAAGTGGGCCCCAGATAAGATGCCCATTTTGGGACCATGCCCACTTGGTACCCATGTAGACCCAGCATAAACCATGTGGGGCCCACATATACATGTTGGCTGGGTGGAGATCCCAGAGATGTGTTTTAGATTTTACACGATTCATTATGTTCCCATTGCTCATATCCAGTTTTCCCCTCTTCCTCAAGTTCAGATTTGGCTGTAATATCATTAAAGATAGATGGTGCAAAATATTCTTGGTAAAAGAGATAAATAAACCAGAGTAGTACTGCAGAAGCCCATGCAGCCTCACTGGAGCACTCAAAGCTCATCATACTCAAGTCCCGCTGTGAATGATTTTATGCCAATTATGCCTCATTGAGTTCTGTTCCACTCTCGGGTTTGTGGTTTCCATCCGTGTGTGGACGAAACAAAGAACACTGGAAAATTCTGTGGCATTCCCTACATGCTAAACAACTTAACTTAATATCTCCCTGTCCAGATGTGGACTTTGCATATTTCAGTCTTTCTAAAAAGTAGATGATGTTGGCCCATGGATGCCATGCTTTCCTGATGGGGGTACATGACTCCACCAAAATGGACTGTAGGGATTATAGCAAATCTAGTCTATTTCCTCCAGACGAGGCTTTAAAAGATTAAAATGATTAATGGGCGATCATTCATGTATTTTCACCTTCCTTCCTGTTACAGACAAACCATGCTACTGTGGATCAATTTATGTAGAGAAGAAAATGTGGTTAAAGGTAACAATAGTTTCAGAGGCAAAGGCACAATATTTCCTGTCACATTAGTCTGTTTAAACTCATTACATGTCTGTTGTTTATCTTATATATGTAATCATAAAAAGTGTTGCCAACGAAGTACAGTTGCTTTCCACAAGCCATTCAAAAAGAGTTAGTGTGAAGAAGCTATGGATGACAATGTTCCTCAGGCTAAAACGGTACAGTAAACCGAACTGAGCATCATTTCTCACGCCACTTGTTTACATGTATTTGAACAGTGTTGGGAAGGTTACTTTGGAAATGTAATAGGTTACATGATTATTTGCGAATCGTGTTTGCTCTTCCACAGAAGAGAGGGGCATGTAAAGAGATGCGTGTAAAGAGATATGCACCAAAACGAGTCGCTGTGAACAGAGCTGTTTTTGACAAGGTACAAAGGGTGTTGTTTTACACGACCACTGAGACCATTTCAAGAATACCCTAAAGAATCATACCAACTTGTGGAAAATGGGCATCCGATGTCCCCTTTGAAACACAGCCAGCACAAAATCAGACTTACTTTAAAATCATTCTGTGGTTAAATACATATTTAAAATCATAACAAGAAATAGTTTAATAGCTATGATACTGTTTTTGAAATCAAATCTTTGCATAGCTATGACAGGAAACACTGGAATCTAACAAGGCCATAGAAAAAAATAGTCAATTAAAAAAAAATAAAGCATATACATAAACCCTATCGGATAAGCATGTTATAAACTTCTGAAACATTGGTGTTTCATATTTTAGAGCAGTCACTGCAATTTATGAAAGAACTCAATTAAATCTGTATGTGGGAGTGTGTGTGAAAAAATCAGATGTAACCCCCTTTGTAATCCTTAACATTTTCATAAGTAACTGTAATTTAATTACACATTTTTTCTTAGTAACTGTAACTGATTACAATTACTTTTATTTTGTAATTAAATTACGTAATTCCGTTACATGTAACTAGTTACTCCCCAACACTGTATTTGAATGTACATTTAAACAACATACTGCTTGCGCCCCAAGGCACAATAACATCATTAGTAACAATGAATCTGATTCTTAGCTCAGTCAGTGTGCAGAAATTGAACACCAGCCTGCAGGGTTTGTGGGATATGGGTTTCTACTTTATGCCAATCATAAATGATTAAAGACAATGAATAAAACACACTTCCTTTAACGGTACAAAGCAATCCCTCTTTATTACTTCTGTGAACTTGTTAAGATTGAAAAATAAAACACTTGCTTCAGCTTGAAGTGGAACTTGCAGTGCTTTTTATTATTATTACGTATTATCTTTTGTTTGTACACTTCCAATCTGGGTTGGCAACAAAGAATGGCACTTGAGTGATTCCCATGTTGACTGGTTAATACATGTATAAACATTACTTCCTAAACGCTATGTCCTCAAAGCACCACTGGTGCAACTATTTACAATTTACATGTTGTATTTTGTTATACGTAATATAATGTAATTAAGAGAACTGAAATGAAAACTCTCACCATCTCCAAACAGGCAGCAATGATATCCAGCACCCATTAGCAGCAGTACTGGGTAGAGCTGACCTGAGGCCAGTCGAATAATTTGAATTAATGCTCTCTGATTCTGGATCAGGCCAGCTATCAAACAGCATACTGAACCGACTGACTACAGGTCCACAAACTATGGAAACACTAGAAAGAACAGAAACTCTACAACAAATGCTTTAAACATTGCTTAATGTCTTTAGTGTACTGATGCTTAGAAATCTAGACATGCCTTTTAACATTAATGCATTTTTTCTAAATCAAACCAGCTGAAGTCTGCAGCAAAGTGGGCAACAACAACAACAACAACAACAAAAAGAGTAAATAACCCCAGCAGTTCAGAAGTGTATTGTACACTACTACAGTATTTACAGTTAACAATACAGCTGAGAACACTACTGCATCTTAACATTTGAAAAGAAGATAAATACAAGAATATTTATTCAGTTTTATAGATCATTTTTAAATTGATATAAAAGCTATTGATGCTAAAAGTGGTTTAAAAAAAGAAAATAAGAAACAGTGCTATTTTCAGCGCTTTTTAAGCTGCATGAGATTTGCTGGCACTCAATGGGAACAATAAATACTAGCTCTGTACTCCTCTTCGGTGTGGCAATGTTGTCTTCTCAGTCTGAAGCAGACAGGTCTTAAACCTACGGGACAAAGGAGGATAGAATAACAAGCACGTGTAAAAGCACTAGTTTAAGCACGACAAATATTTTTACTAAGCTGAGATGAGTTTTAATGCAAATAGCAATGGAAGTGTGATGCCATGGAGCGAAAGCCAGACTTACTGCAACAGTGGTTACTGAGCTCACACTATAGTAGAGGGACCAATCACCTGAGCTTCCCCCTATGACGAGAAGGAGATGGGTGCAGGTGTTATCACAGGTTAAAGGGGAGGCTTTGATTTCAATCGTCAGGTGATCAGTGTCTTCTTTAATGTGTTTATTAGTGCCGGCATAAGCATGGGTGTTATGAGATATTTCTGCATCAGGCTGTGTCCACATATATCCGGATATATTTGAAAAAGGTGTTTCTGTTTTAAAACACTCTCTGATGATACATAGAGACAGACATCATAAAGTTCTCACGTTATTCTTCTGGCACTATCATTTATTAGCACATATCCCACAACTCACTGGTGCATCTGGGTTGCACTTAAAATTGCCATTCCATATATGGTCTAAAACAACATTAGCAACATCATTGAAGTGAATAGTAGGCACAACAATGCCAGTAAAACAATAGACTAAACATGCAACATCGCTTTCGAATACCTCTGTTTTTACAGTCCACACTACAACATGAAAACTGTGTTTTCAAATTTATCCACTTGGATAAATAGGTAGAGAAAAAGATGCGTTTTCAAATTCATACGGATTAATGTGGATGTAGCCTCAGTGACACTGAGGTCATTTGATGCTGGCAGAAGCCTGAAGATGTGCACTCAAAATACTGGCCATCTGAAATGGACACATGCTATACTAACCGCTGAGATGTACTGGCTGTTAAAGCAGGGTTTCTCCTGGGTGGGAGAGGTGATGGTGGAGTAACAGGAGGAGTCACACGGTGAGCTGGGCTCCTCGGACAAAGCCTCGGGAAGGTGACTCGACACACATCCGCTGTCTGACCCGCTCGAGCCACTACCTGACAGACAGTGAGACGACGAACCCGAACTCTCTGTAGCTACAAACACAAGTCAAAGATCAACATCCTGTTATATATGTGGTTTATGAGAAAGTGTTTAACACTTTCAAACATGTTATGATACATACTCATAGACGGCTGACTGCTGGTCTCATGTTCCAGCTCGTCTTCCTCGTTGCAGGGGCTGATGAGAGGTCTCTCCCCTGCTAACAGGCTTTGGCTGCTGTACATATGCAGATTCAAGGGCCCCAGCAGCGTGGAAGAGGAGGGGCCACCGGACACCGGGGGGCCGCTAACGGGAGCATTTACTGCAGCTCGTTTGAATGGGTTTGAGTGGTCAAAAAGCGAGACAGCAATGGAGGCTCTCGTCCTGGCCCCTGTAACAGAAGAATGAGCATGACAATAGTAAAAACAACCCATAGAATCATTAGCTGCTTATTTATAATCAAAATATTATTCTGGTGAGAGCAAGTTATTCTGATGAGTTTGTCGTGTTGAACAGGCTCACCTCTGCCTTTCATAATGTAGTCAATGGCTCTGTCGTTGATAGCAGCATCACTGGGTTTAATGTCCAGGAAGGGTTTATTGCCCACCCCCATAGAGACCATCTCCTGCATTCGAACTTCTGCATACACACATAGAAACATGTTTAAAAACGCTGCCATATATCAGAAATTGAAAAGTACTGATGATAACTGAGATATTTAAAAAATGAAATATGGATATCACGTTAATACTGCACAAATGATATTATCATAAATAATCCAGCATCAGTAACCATATAGTTGACACTCCAATAACTGACATTAAGCTGCAGAAAGCATAAAGCACACACAAAGTGTAAAAAGTATTGCCTTAGGGATTGAGTAAATATATGCAAATACAGGTTGAACAAAGCCCTGGATTTGCATCATTTTCTCACACTCATATCAAACTGTAGAAACACAACACTGGTGTGACTCGAAAGTGTTTTAAATAGCTTCCAATCTGCCTGAGGCCTTTACAGATGAAATGCTAGAATTTTTTTTTTTTAGATATGCTAAGATGGTATGAGACAGGAAATATTATCTGCAATTATCCTCTCATGTTCAGTATGCTGAACAAAACAAATTCAAACAACTTATTAAAGCTCAACCGCTTCAGTTTTTTCTTTCCCACCTTTATTCCGTGTGGCCTGCTGCCACAGTATCCGTGCAATGTCGCAGGTCCAGGCGTGTTTGATCTCGGCAGTGCTGGCTTGGAGAATGTAGGTCTGGTTCTTTGAACTTCTCCTCCTGAACCAGACCTCAAACCTCAGAGCGTTCTCACCCGACGTCTCTGTCATACCCACATCAGCCGTCTACAAAGAGAATGACAGAGTAGAGAGGATATTCACATATCCTCTCAATCAATATTGAGGGCTCATGGCATCTTGTTGTTATTATGGCTTACAGGAGACCGAACTGATGCTGATATTAACATAGGACAGAGGACATATAATAAAAGGATGTGAGTGTATTAGTAAAAGAAACAATTGTCATAATGCATTTGTTTTTCTGGAGATGTTTCCTGTCCCTCTAAACTTCAGATGTCCTTTAGGTGCTTACCTTAAAAGAGTGCTTGTAAATGTAAACATCTAGGCCACCCTCAATGCGTTTGGGTTTGCTGAACAGCACTAGATCCTCAAACAGGAACACATGTCTTTGGCACTTCTTCCTGCCATACCAAATAGTGAACTCATCTTGCCGAACCAACTGCCCCTGCTCTTTCAAGTTCACCTGGAAGAATAAAATATGAAATGGTAACGCAGAAGATCATTTGCTTTTCCACGTCTCAAATGTGAAGTGGTGTGTGTGTCCGCTTACATCACAATCTCTGATAGCATCCATGGCGAGCAGATCGTTGCCATGGCGAAGCTGGAATTTGACCATCTCGGTGGCAGCACGTAGGTACGTTAGCTCCTGCTCCTGGACTTCACTCACTTCTTTGATCAGGTCTTTCAGCAGCAGGGCGTACTTACTCATGCGCTGGATGGGCTTCAGCAGGTAGGACGCCAGGTCCATCTTATCCCCCAACTCCAGCTGCTTATGCTGAAACAGGAGAGATTTTTACAGTTTCAGCCCGTGAGGTGAGATGAATGTGCTTTGAGCAGTTCAACATAAGTGGAATAAACTCCACACCCAGATTAAAAGTCATGTAAGATTTTATTGAAAAACTAAAAGGTTATCATAGGTGGTTTAAAGTGTAGCATTGGTTTAGTTACTCACCCTGAAGAAGCTGTTTCCATGACTGGCCAGAAGTGTGTCTGACTTTGGCTTGTTCTTGCTGTATAAAGCATACAAGCTGAACTGGTCTTGCTATGTTCATATGGAAAAAACACAAAAGAGAAATATTTTAAGTGTTATCATCCACATTTCCGTATTCATGTTCTGAAGAATAATTCTCTTGTTGATCCGGAAATGGAGGGAGGGAGCATTTTCCCAAATTATTTCCTAGGTTGAGTTTTGTTGGAAATACTTTTTTTGTGTTTGGGTAAATTGTTTTATAATGACTTTCAGGTTCATATGGAGTGTGCAGTAATTTCAGGGCAGGTTTTGCCACGGCAGAAATATGTCATAAGTGATTTTAGCATAGTAGGCCATTGCTGTAGGCCAAACAGCCTACCTCTGTGTCTTTTTCTCTCTTTTCTCTGTGAATCAGGTGAACCAGCACTATGAGCTTACCACAACTAGAGAGAAAATAAAGGAGATATAGGCTGGTGGTCTTGCACTCATTTAAAGACCTCAGAATCACTTCTTATGGCTCGGTTTGATTCTCTTATTCATAGAGGGTGAAAGGAAGAGAGAAAGTAAACACAGAACAAGTACTTTTCTGGATGGTTTTAGACTTGTGACGAGTCAAAAATGAGTCAGTCATGGTCTGGGAACAGACGAGCACTGACAAATTAAGCCCCTTTGTTTCATCTCCAATGAAAATATGATTCAATTTGTGACATTTAATTCAGAATCCCCGAATGATCTCTATTAGAATTGAAAACATAAGAACAGTTAGAATTAATAGACTGTGAAATGTAACTAAAAAAAAAACAGATCTGAAGTCATGCAGTTTGACATGTCCTAGTTACTGTGAAAAGACTGAAGGAACTCTCTTACATGTCGTAGGAAGCAGTGGCTGACGCGTAGAGGATGATTGCAGCAGCTCTCAAGCTCTTTCAGGAAATACTGGCTGTGGAAGTCCACCAGCTTCTCCAGGTTTCCGAAGATGACGCTGCGCTTTCCCCGCAGGTCCTGTGGCAGGTCAGCGCGCTCCATCTCAGGGAAATAGTTGTCAATGATGTACCGCAGAGAACGCACATATTCCCGCTCCGTTGTTACCATCTCATCTACGATGTGGCATAGTTTACTGAAAGACAGAGAGAGCATGCACAATTAACATACTCCAAATGCTTAAATTTTATAAGATTTTAACATTTCTGTGAGATTTTAAAAACTTTTACAGCAAAAACATTAAGCAGCACAATTGTTTCAACATTGATAATAACAAGAAATGTTTCTTGAGTTCCAAATCAGCAAATTAGAATTATTTTTGAAGAATCATGTGACAATGAAGACTGGAGTAATGGGTGCTGAATATTCAGCTTTACCATCAAAGAAAAAACATTTACTTTTTTTTTTAAATTACATTTTAAAATATATTACAACAGATTTTTTAAATTGTAATAATATTGCAAAATTCTGCTGATTTATTGTATGTTTTTTTCCTGGATGTCTTGTGTGTGCGTGTTCAATTTTGAGCAGTTTGCTGGTCAAATATATGCAAAAGCACCTCTTCCTAAGAAACTAAATACAGCTACACTGTACATTTTCATGTATAGAGACCCATTTATAATGTGTAAAAAAAGTATGATTTTATACATTAACAACATGTTGTTTGCAAAAATAAATAATTGACTTTTATATTGTCATTGAAATACAGTTTAATAAAATATCTGGACATCATTATCTGTACTGTTAGATTTTTTATATAAAGATAATATTTCTAATCCAATTCAACATTATTTATGCAACATACATTTATATATTCATAATTAATATATAATATTATTAATAATTATATAATTTATTTATTATAATTATACAAGTAATTAATTATGAGCCAGGCTAAATATATTTGTCTGCGTTTTTTGGCAGCATTGTTGCTCATATTCTGTTACAACATCACACTGCATTTATTCCAGTGTGAGTGTGTGTGTTCTGTGACACAGCTATCATAAAGTGGTGGATATACAGTAAGTGGTTTTATGCTGAAGCATTCTTTAGTCGATGGCCCGCAGACCGCCCTGGTTGATTGTGTTTATATTACAGCAAGTGAGTGTGGGTAAGCACTTGCTTAAGTGTACCCACCTGCCCTTGTTACGTGTTTCTGGTGCAGGACTCCCGCTGCGGTGAGTGTCAACAGAAGACCATTCATGCATGGGCGGTAGTCGCGGGCTGTACGGCCGATCGATCACTTCCGTGCTGCTCACCTCCAGACCCTTAATGAACACCCCTGTGTTTCCTCTCCGTGCAGGCTCACTCAAAGTTCTCTGACAGGTCCCATACCGTGACACAGACTCGCTACTGGCCGTATCAAAGCTCTGGGTCTTCCGCAAAACCCTGCGGTTTGGTTCGATAGAGGTGAGGCTTGGGCTAGTAGCACACGCCTGCCCCTCCAGATGTGGCTGCTGCAGAGACTCGTCTGTGGAGATGCTACGTGTTAGCCTGTGGGACCTGACAGGGGTGCTTCTGTGCTCAATGCTATATGGACTTCCTGATGGGGTTCGGACAGAGTCATGGGTGTCCATGCGAATGCCTGAAGGACTGCTAGGAGTTGAGGATATGCTTGACTGTGAGGAAAGTCTGTTCCGGCCCCAGCCTCCGCCGAACGCTTTCCGACATGAGAAGGAGATGCTACTGCTACGCTCCTGAGGTTTAGCGCTACGGTCCGAGTTCCGGCGAGAGGAGTCACCCCTCGCTGATTTGGAGCCGCTCTCGCGGCGGGTGCGCAGGGCCATCTCCAGCTTCTTCTCAAACATCTGCTTGGTCTCCTGACACTTGGACCAGGCAAACTTCCACTGCTTGAGTCCCTGCTCACTCTTCATCTCCCCAGCGAGGTCCTTCATCTCCTGGAAGTGTGCGTCGGGGATCGGGGGGTGCTGACTGCGATAGGTCTCCAGACACGTGATCACGCTCTGACACTTGTCAGACATGCCAT